TTTCTTCTTTTGTTTATTGTATTGAGTTATATTTAAAATATATTTTATTTTTCAGAGTTGTTTGTTAAGAGTTAAATTTCAAAGAATTTTTGTTTTAAATTTCTACAAATTTTAAATAAATAATTAAATAAATAATATTTTGGCCATTATGTTAAGATTAGGTAGCTTTGGAAATTGTGAGATTCAACTCATGATAAATAAAACATTATCATATTTTACAGATGTTTTTCAAAAAGGAATCGGGTAATCGGAAGTTTAATACTGTAATTAACTTATGAATAAAAATATAATGACGTATAATAAGCTTTTTGTTTATCAATATATTTTATTATGCTTAATGGGATACAAAATGTGATATAACAAAATCACCTCATCTGAACTGAGGCAGTTAAATATACATCTTCACTATACGCGAAAAGCATTCTAAAATGTTTTATTTTTAGAAAATTTTACAATTCGGCTATAAAAGTTTATCTTTAACCTGAATTAGTGCTTCTAAATAGGTTACAGAAATGGAACATAATAGTGCTGTACATTTTATATGTCACGTTTATTCACGTTGTTCGGAATGGCACAAAACCAGAATAACATGTTCGTTAAATCATATCGCAGAATTTAAATTTTGGCACCACAATTTTGAATTTGTCCCAGAGGTACACTTATAGAGTCATAGTAAACATACTATCGCTATCTTTTTAGAAATGATTTGAATTTGACTAATTCTTTATTTTTCAAAATAGTTAAATAAAATAGTATTCAAGTAATAGTTAATGCGTATTAGCGTATTAGCTTTAGTATCTTTTTTTTTTTATTAAACAAATTCATAATTATTTTGTTAGAGTAGCCTTTGTTATAAAAAATTTTTTTTTCAGGATAAATTTTTTGCTATTCAAAGGTCGAAAACGATTTTGATAATCTCTAGAGCTAAAAATTAATTATCGCTCTTGGGATAATAGTTTTTAATTGGCTTAAAAAATGTGATCGTGTATAACCAGGAACTGTTATTCCTGAACGCTGTTCGCTATGAAAGGGGTTTCTGTCTTTCGAATTTTATTTCTAAATTGTTAACTGTTGAATCTATGACTTCCTTTGTATAGTCCTAAATTGAGTCCAAACGACATTTATGCACTCCATTGCAAAATTATCACCTTTATTAAACTTTTGGAAATATCAAAATGCTTTAAATTTTGTTACGAAAAGTCTTTCCGAAAATCAATTCCCTCTTGAGCGAGCTTACTGTCTTTATAGGTTGAACAAATTTTCTGAAGGTGCAGAACTTCTTTATAAATACCGAACTGCTGGAAATAATGATAATGGATTGAGACATTTGGAAGCACAAGTGGTTTGTTATACTTTTTCTTCTTTTTCTTTTTTTTTTTCTTTTTAAAAAAAAGAAGAAAGTTATTGTTTTAATTTTAATTTTTGAAGGCATACAAACTTAAAGATTATAATTCTTCTCTATATATTACAATCTTCTTCAGGAAACAGATGCAGTACGCGATCTTAATTATTATCAAATACAATGGATAGACCTTCTTATTTAAAATTATTTATATAGAAATTTCAATTCAAAATT